TTAGGGTTTAGGGTCTATAGGGGGTTTGGGTTTAGGATGTCCAGGATCCTCTTGTCTTGTTTGGGGCCATATATTCAGCTCCATCTTTGCCTCAAACATTCCTGAATTTGCGATGGGGTTGTGGTCTATCGAAGCTTCATCTGGGCTTGACACTTTAGGGATCTAAACCCAAGAAAACACTCAACCCATCTAAACCCTACTATGGGGGCCTAAATAATTACCTAAACTATTTGGGGGGTTCCTTATCATAAGTATAGTAAGGTATACCTCAAAACCCTAGTCTAGTTATTTAGGCCCCTATATGATGCCCAAAACCTTGCCGAGGTCAAGGGGGGTGTGCCGACGCCCGAGGATGTCGCGGCAGCCATCGACGATCTCGAGGCATTTTTCGAAGTGGAGCCAGCGCTGACCTAAACGACAAAAATCAGTTTATACAAGGCCTAGTTAGGTCCCACAAGCCGCAAGCTCTGGTGATGAACAGACTCGACTGTGTTTAAAATAGGATGATCCCAAGGCATTGCTGTGACATATCTGTTGTTGCAATGCTTTGCTTTCGATTTGCCATCGGTTTTGCACTAATACCTATAACCCTTCGCTACAGGAGTACAAACATCGACGAGTTTTGATTGCCATGGCTGTTGCTGGCGGGCACTAGAATACTGCTCGCTACCATGTAACAGCTCTGGCTGACCACTCCACGGTCAGCACAAAACCGCGTGGACAGTGGATGATGCATTATTTGTTGTCCTGCATTTTGACCTCTTTCCTAAATAATTTAATTCGAAAGCGAACAAGGGTATCCCAGAGTAGGATGATGAGTCAAGCCCTAAACCCTATAAACCCTGACCAGATGCGCGAACAGCTCTAAATTAATTATCTGCACAAATCTGTTTTCCGTGAAGGATGGGTAGAACAAAACACATGTTTGCACCTATTTGTTCGGCAAATCTGAAGATCGCATACATGTACCACTGTTCTGCCACATGGCACGTTTCTCGGTGGTTTGTAAGAAATCCCATATCGACGACTGGCCTCATGTATTAGTACAGCAAGGCCGACTATTTTTTCTTGGTGCTTGGATCATGCCTGCTCTTCATTTGTGTCAACTTGTTTCAAGAGGCCCTAACTCCGAAACCTCAAGCCCTAAACCCTAAGCCTTCAACCCCAAACCCAAAAAACCCCAAACCCAAAGCCCTAAACCCTATAAGCCCTATGAACCCTAAACCCTGAACCCGAAATCTGAAACCAGAAACCTGAAACCTAGATATCTGGAAAGAGATGCCGGTGGTAATGTAGAAGGTTGGATAATTGTGCGTTAAGCATAAGGGATTTCAGGAGGGTTTAGGGTTTAGGGTTCAGCGTTAGATAGTTTATGGTAAGTAAGCTGCATTTTACGTAGCCGGAGCCGTAGAGCTACTAGTAGACAAGACAGTGTTGACGTGAGGGTCTCTACCGCGCCTGTGCCGACAGCGGTCGCCTGGCAGAAACCAAGTTCGACTTCATGAAGGACGGCTTGCAGTTCAGGGTTCGATCTTTAGTTCAGGGTTTATATATGGTTTAGGGTTTAGGGTTCAGGGTTTAGGGGTTCAGGGGTTTAGGGGTTTAGGGGTTTAGGGGTTTAGGGGTTTAGGGTTTAGGGTTTAGGGTTTAGGGTTTAGTTTAGTACTATATAAGGTGTACCGTAGTACACGATTATACAGACTACTGTAGCCGCTGAGCCGATCAAGGAAATCACCTACAATACAGCATGCTTACACAGTGCAGTGGCTGGCGCGGTTCGACCGCAGTACTTCTGTTGCAGTACTTGTGTGGGGGTCTCTTTTTTCGGGGCCCAAGAAGCAAGAGTTTGGAGTATTCGTAAGATCTTTGTGGAGCCAAATGGGTTGGTTTCAGCACGGCATCTGGGAAGGGTTTTGCGTTACCTGAAACCCTGAGTCAGCCTAAACGGCCTAAGCCCACTAAACCTGAACCCTAAAGCCTAAACGGCCTTAAACCCCGATGAATGATAAGCCTTGCGTGTTGACGTAGGTTGCAGATGTTCACGAGTTAAATTAGGGTTTAGGATTCCGGGCAAGGGTTCTTGGAAAGGGTTTAGGGTGTAGGGTCTAGGGTTAAGGCGGGAGAATGATCGCAGAGCCGGCCAAGCCCCAAAAGCTCAACTCTGAGCGAAAGTAGATGCCCTGCTATACCCTAAATCTCTGGAGAGCAAAACCGAACATCGAACCTTCACCCTATGGGAAGTTTGCCGATGATGTGAAATGCTTCCTGAAACTTTCTGATAAGCCCAAGAGGCCGCAGGAGCTTCCAAGCATGATCGCTCGATCCTCACCCAACTTGATTGTCACGAATCCTCATGATAACCAAGTCTTGTGACGAGTGTCAATTGAAAAGTTGGACTACAAGCCCGACTGCTCAAGCTCTGAACCCTACCTGAACCCTAGCCAAAATCCTGCTCGTGTATATGACTCAGAAAAACCACCCGCAAGAGCCTGAGACAGGGCCAGGTTCTGCTGATTCCGCGTGCATACCTGGAGTAACCACGGTATGTGTTGAACACGGAAATGTGCCTGTTTCTGGGTCATAACCCTAAACCCTAAACCCAAAACCCTAAACATACTTGTTTTTTAAGGTACATTGGTTATATACTCTCGTTATACCCTGTCAGGAGCAGCTGAAGGTTGATGATGTCATCAACATCGCAACGAAGGTTGCATTCCAACCTCCTGCGGTGGACGTCGTCCAGCACGATGTGTTTCCTGCCGCTTAAGGGCCGTCGGAAGCGTATTTGGCGCAGTGTACTGTTTAGGCTTCAGGTGTTGCACTAATCTGTGGCCTGAGATTTTGTCCGGTGGCGCAGCTTGACGCCCCATGTGCAGCTTTGGTTGCGCAAGCTGCGTCCTCCACCGCAGATGCGGACCTTTGTACAGTGAGGTCGTGAAGGCTCCGGTCGGTTCTATTACCCTAAGGGTCCATGTACCCAAATAGTAGAACATTGGCCTTAATGTAGTCCCTATATAGGTACTTTGGGGCCAATGTTCTACTATTTGGGTACATGGACCCTTAGGGTTAAGTCTGCCAACTGCCAACAGCACAGCATCTGAGATAAAACGCAAACTGCTGCAAAGCCAGGTGCTACATCGCTTCAGTGAAAGCGATGACCCATCTCCCGACCCCACAGATTCAGCCAGTAACGAATTCATTTTAGTGGCCATCATACGTCGGAAATTATCACCACAGCCATATCAAAGACACGATCCAAGCCATGGTCGTCACGCAGATGCTTCGGCATCCTGCTTACGATGTAGATTGTGTCCCTGATCCTTTCGGGTTCAATGATTGGCGCGGGGTTTGGGGTTTGGGGTTTCGGGTTCAATGATTGAACCACGTCCGTAATTCTAGTTGTGGCTCAAAGCGGCTGGCGGGGGGACGAAAGTGCCGCCGCAGCGATGTCGCACCGCGGCTGCAACTGAGGTCCTACTAGGGTGCCAGGAACCCTAAACTAAACCCTAAACACAAAACCCCAAACACTAAATTTTCGATTTTAAACCCTAAACCCTAGTAGGGTGCCAGGTTGCATTCGACTGAAGTTTTTTGGCCTTGGGGGGTAAAGGTTAGGGTTCAGGGTTTAGGGATTCTAAAGTTTAGGGTTCAGGGTTTACAAAGTTTAGGGTTTATAGAGTGTAGGTTTATAGAGTGTAGAGTTTACGGTTTATAGGGTTCAGGGTATAGAGGTTAGTACTGGAATTCAGGGATTTCTTCTTCTGAGGATTTCTGAGGCCAAGGTATAGGGGGTCAGGGCCCGGGACGCATGGTAACGGTGAGTTACCCAGAGAGCCCAATTCAATACAGTACCCTTTAATCAGGGAATATAGCTTAAACCCCTAAACCCTAAACCAAAAAAAACCCTAAACCCTAAACCGTACGATTTTGGTTTACGTCCGACTCAATATAGTGCTAGTCCTAGAGAGCCGTCAAAACCACAATTTAGGAGAAAACTATGAAAATATAGGAATTCCAGGTTTGCAGGGAATGCAGAAAAATGGGCGAATAGGGAAATAGGAGAAAACAGGAATAACCTAGAGAAAGCATAGCGTACAAATAGGAATGGCATAGGGGAACCATTGGAATCAAATAGGGGAAAATCGCAATAACGTGCGGGAAACAGGGATAACATAAGGAAAACACCAGGTAAATAGGCAAAACGCAGGCCCACAGGGTAGAAAGGAGCACGGGAAGAGTGGGTATGTTTCTCCCCTATTGTATTTCTATTACAGAAAAAGCAGGATCCCTATGGTTTCTTATGTTTATCATATTTTGGGCCATTTTGCGGTCTGACTGGGGTGAGCACAAGGGTCGGACGTAAACTTAGGTAGCTGGAGCCCAAGGGTATTGCAACTGCATACACGAACACAACGCTTTCAACTTGCATGCATTCTTACCCAAGGCTTCCAAGGACCTTATAGTTAGGGCCCTAGACCCCTTAAGGACCCAATAATAAGGTCCCTGGAAGCCTAGGGTTAATGCACTGAACCTCTCGGTGGACGTCTTAATTTTGTATGGGATCTGGCATGCAGCACCAAACTCCTGAATCTACCCTAAACCCAAAACCCTAAACCCTTATAACCCTAAACCCCAAACCCTAAACCCTAAACCCTAAGGCTTAACTTGCAGATGTTATCGCTCATGGCTTACGCAGTCTAGGATCGAGGCCAGAATAACAATTAATATTGAGCCCTAAGGGTCCATGTACTCAAATAGCATATACTTTGGCCTTAATGTAGTCCCTATATAGGTACTTTGGGGCCAAAGTATCTACTATTTGGGCACATGGACCCTTAGGGTTGAGGCCTAACTTGCAGATGTTATCGCTCATGGCTTGCACAGCCTAGGATCGAGGCCAGAATAACAATTAATACTGATATTCCTCAACTATGGTTCATTGTAATGTACACGTACTACATTAAAACATTAGATCGAAAACACCCTGTTCAAATCCATGAGGGGGCCCAACACAGACCCCATGGGACACCATCGCAACCCTTCTAGAATTCTTTGAGCAACCCCAAATGAGCCCCATTCTTAAGCCACTGCAATATGTTGGGTGGGAGGGGCTCTCCGCTCTACGGTTTAGGGTTTAGGGTTTAGGGTTTAGGGCCTAATTTTAAGGCTTGGCTTCGGCTTTGGTTTAGAGTTACGTACACGCTCAGCACCTTCGAGTCTCGGTATCCCAGAAATAAAGAGTTCACTATCGAGGTTTGCATAGCATAACCGTTGTGAATGTCATCGTGTAGGTCCTGCCCTATATTCCTATTAGCTATTAAGATATATCATGACAGAAAGGTACACATGCAGGCACTTTTCAAAGCTAAACACACACAAACTTATTAAAGGCTGAAAATCATCGCTTTGGAACCACTTCCTTTGACGGGGTTGCTCTCTTCAATCACCTAGTACCCTTGACAGGAGAATTTTGTTCGAATCTCCGTCCCATCGTTCGGATCATTTACTCCACTCGGGCTATTATGATGTGGGGTGTTTCATTACTAGTATTCCCATAGCAGGTGTTTCATTACTAGTATCCCCATAGCAGCACCCCGGATGTACAGCCACCAATATTCCCAAGAAGGCCTATTCATCTATCTATCTTTCTTTCTGTCTATCTATATATCTACCTACCTATCTGTCTGTCTACCTATCTATCTATTTGTCTGTCTATCTACCTGTCGATGTATCTGTCGATCTATCGGTCCACCTTTCTATGTCTCTCCATCTGTCGATCTATCTGTGTATCTATCTGTCTATCTATCCGTCTTTCCATCTATCTATTTTTAATTCTACCTAAACCCTAAACCCTAAACCCTAAACCCTACTTGGCTCAAGCCATTTTGGCTCAAGGCTCAAGCTCAAGATTCAAGTGCCTTCGCCCCAAAAGGGGTGCCCCCTGGTCGTCCCGTCCTTGGCGCGGCTTCTGATTGCGAGCACCTCCAGGGGTTGGACGTCGGAGAGCCGATCCGGGACTTGCTTGCGCAGCTGGCGGATTGTCACGGCCCTGGGGGTCCTCGATTACCCGCTTCAGCTTTACCACTACAGCTTCGTGAGCCAGGCTGCTGTGGGGCGGCACTACAGGGGTGCGGAATGGCTGGGCGAGAACACAAAGGGGGCAACAAGCAGACGCTCCGACTTGGGGAAGCGATCCCTGTGCCTTGTGGGGCGGATGATGATCGCGAGCTCTTGGAGTCTCCCACCGGCAAGCGCGCTACTCAGGGTGCGCCAGAAGATGGTGGCGGCAAGCGTGGCAGGGGAGAAGCCTCCCACCCAAAGCAGATCACCTTGGAGACGGAGAGCTTGAGGGAAATGCTCCGCGAGCAGAGCTACGACCTGCTGGGCAAACAGCAAGCGCAGCTGGACAAGGCAATCGGCGACTTGGAGTCTCGCACCTTAACGAAGGTTGCGGAGGTGCAGGAGCAGATCGCGAACTTGGAATCCAAGCACTCGGAGTCGGATGCCAGGATCGAGGCCTTGGAGCAAGGGCTTAAGCAAGTCGCGGAACGTCTTGCCGGAGGGGGTGGTCGTGAAGGGCGAAACAATGACCTCAGCGACGAGAAGCGGCGCAGCACTTTGGTCATAGGGGGGTGGCCTAAGGACTCGAGAAGGGGTTTGATTTTGTCGGATCTACAGGAAGCTCTCCGGGGTCTTAAACTCGAGGGGAAGTACGACACCGAGCCCTTCTGCACAGGTCCAAGGCGCAGCATCGCTCTTCTTCCCATGCCCAGGCGAGCCGGGGAATCTGATCAAGCTCACCGGGACCGCATGTTTACCTTTGTTCAGGCCTTTAGCGCCACTCAGGTGCTGACACGAGCAGGTGCAAAGTTGTGGTGCAACTTCTCCAAGAGCCCGGAGCAGCGGATGATCGCAAGTCACTCCAGTCTCATTAAAAAGGTGGTCGGCGTCTTCGTGCATGACACCACAGGGCTCCTCGACTTTGAATACAAGACAGGCACTACTTGGTGCGACGAAGGGATGCTCGCGAGCGCCTGCTTACCGGTGCCACCGGGTACAGACATGAGAGGGGTGGCTGTGGACGAGGACTCGGTCAGGAAACACTGGATTAATGTTCGCATGCTGGCTAAGTTCCTGCAGAAGCCAGTCGATGCGGTGCAGAGCGCGATTGCAGATCATAAGCACTGACTCGGTCGGGTGCCACAGCAGTTTCACGAAGGGGAGCCGAGATCATCGAATGATGCGTCGTTAGGGGTCTCTCCACCTCCTTTGCCTTTGCAACAAGGGTGTACAGAACCTTTGGGTGAATTCAAGTTCAAGGTATTTGGTTGGAATGTCGGTGGATGTGATATTGCCGATTTGAGTGAGCACTTCAAGGAGGGTTGTAAAGCGTGCCTTCCAGAGGATGCACTGTTGACCTTGCAGGAACTGCCAAGAGGAGATGCGGGATGGGCGAAGCAAAAGTCTGGTCAGTGGAGCATTGTCAGTCATCGTGCTGAAGGGGTCTGGAGGGGCCCGGGGGTTGCATACAGAGAGACCGAGTGGACGGTACAGAGAAGGGTGCGGTCCAACAAAGGGGTTTGGCTGCGGCTACAACATTTGACATGGGGAGTTGTTGTGTGGGTGGGGTCTGCGCATTTTACGCCGGGGTGTACACTTGCACAGTACGAACAGGAGGTGGAACAGGTTTTCGAATGCCTTCCCAGAAATGCTTCCTCGGTGGTCTTTCAATGTGACGCAAATGCACCCATCCGGTGGTGTGAGAGC